TCGAACTCACAAACCCACAAGATCATGACCTGAGCCAAAGTCCGATGCCTAACCAACTAAGCCACCCAGGTGCCCCTTCAGTTTGGTTTTCTTATAGCACTTACCTAAGTACCTGGGCATACCTAAATTGACCAAGAGACAAGAAATTGGGTTTTCTTCAATCTCTGCGTATCCAGAAATTAGTACAGTGATTGGCACATAGGAGGTGATCAGTACATTTTTGTTGAACGCCGCCCCCCCAACACACACACACACACACACACACACACACACACACACACACACCATCCCCAGGGCAGCTGCCACAGACTCCCAGGACAGACACTCTGACAGATGTGTGTGGGAAGAGAGGGACACAGGGAGAAGGAAGACAGGAAACCAAACCTAAGCTTCTCCCCTTCCCCTCTCTCTTACCTCTGAGCAGGCAGTTGCCCGCCCCCCCAACCCAGCAGTACTTCCCCTCTCTGAAAGGCTCCATGCTAATACCATAGAAGGGGCTTTGATGCTGGCAGGGCAGGCTCTAGGGGTCCCAGGGCCAGGGAGGCCCATAGCAGAACAAGTACCCCGGAATATCTGGACAGGGCAGCAGGATGGAAGTAACGGCACAGATCTAACTAGCTCCCCCCACACCCACAGAGTTGTTAGGTGGTGCATCAGCAGGAATCGAGTGGGCAGGAAGGAGAACAAGTACCCAAGGATGCAAGTGGGAGCCTGTGTGGTCCCCAAGCATTTCCCTCCAGATATCAGACCCGCAGTCAGTTCCCTTTCTCTCCACCAGGTGTCAGTGCTAGCCAAGCGCTCTGGCTCCTCAGGCCGATTTTCCAAGGGAGTATAGATAATCCATTGTTTATCAGCTCACTCAGAATACAAGTTTTAGGGCTGGAAGGGAATTTAGCTAATATATAATTAAGCTACAATTAACACGCAAGTGGAGCGTCCACCTGTGTGAATTTTTCCATGTGTAAACACATCACCCAAACAAGGTAGAGGACAGTTCCAGAACCCCAGAGGCTCCTCTGTGCCCCTTCCCAGTCATTAACTCCCGAAGGTGAGCACTATTCTGATTTCTCACACCATGGATTAGTTTCGCCAGTTTTTGAACTTCATGTAAATGAAGGCACGTGGTGGGTGCTTCCTGGGCCTTCTCTTCGGTTAGCATCACATCAATGAGGTTTAACCTTGCTGTGGATAAAAGTAATTTGTTTGTTTTTATTGCCAGGAGTCTTCCATGGTGTGACTACATGGCGATATTTTTCCATTCTCCTGCCAACGATTTTAGAAGAAACTGCCATGCTGCACTGTTGGGCACTGACAAATCATTGCTGACCACCTTCTGTACACCCAGCCCCGATTGTTCTAGGGTCTGATTTCCAGGCATGGCAGCCCCTTGCCCTCCCAGATATTGGCTCGGTGGGGGAACAGCTGAACACAGGCAGGTGTCATCAGGTAGGGGTCCCAGGGCCCCCGTGGCGGGAGATACAAGGGGCTGGGCTGCCTACCTGTCCCAGATTGGGCTGGGCTGGGCTCCCACTGCTTCCCACTGGCTTCTGCTCCATCATGGTTGGCATGAGCCCTGGGCAAGTGTGGTGGGGACTGAAATAGCTGTCCAGCGGATTCTCAGAGCACTTGAGGCGACTTAGGAAATGACTTCAGTGAAAGCCCTCTGAAATGATGGGTCCTTGGGCTAACTGAGGGTTAACTGCCAGTAAGGGAAGCCTGGGGAGGGACGGAGGGACTATGAGGAGCTTCAGGATCAGGAGAGGAGGTGCAGAGGCCTCAGAAGCTTGGTCCTCCCACCTCCCTGCCTGAGGGTGACCCTCCTAGCTTTGAGGGCCTCAGCACATCCTGCAGTACTGACTATAGCCACCAGGGGGCGCTTCAATGACTGTCTGAGGCTGCCCTCCTCCAAAGGGCTAGTCACTTCCTGGGAGCAAATACACAGCAGTCTTGCTGTGAAGGTGGCCTGGAGGGGAGGGAAGGGTGCCATTTCCATCATCTTGAAGTGATCTCTGACTCACACTAAGGCAACCCGTTAACAACAATCCACAAAGCTCCTACTGTGTGCCAGCACAGTGCAACAGGGAGGGCCCATAAATGCTCAGAAGGCTGCAAAGTGGCCTAAGTGAGGAGGCATGGAGGGGGCAGAGTGAAACCGAGGATGCAAGCCCCCACAGACCCCACGGTTCAGACATATGGCTCCTAGTTGCCTCTGACCGGAGCCCTGTAGCCCTTAGTTACTGTTTCATCAACCTGTAAAAATAAGATAAAGTTGCATCCCACAAAGTCTGTGGGATGCTGTTCTGCCTGAGATAACAAACATAATGTGCCATGTTTGGAAGAAAAAAGAACCCTCCTAGTGTGCAGCTAGTGATAGTCACAGGATGGAGAATTTCTCTAGAGATGACAGCAATCTGTCCTCCACTGAGAAAATGTCCCAATTCCAGGCCCCTGAAGCAGAGCCACTACCTGACCATGATCAGTCAGGGAGATGTCAGATGATCAAGAAAGGAAATATTATAGCCGACCTAATCCCTAATCCATCAGCATGATCCAGGACCCTGACACCCTCACCTTGGATTTTCATCCTTTAAAAACCCCTGCTTGTAAGCCATTGGGAGCTGGGGACTGGGAACTCTCGCTCCCTGTTCTCCTGGGTAGCTGTCTTTCTTTACCGCCAAAGCTCTGTCAGCTTTTATGGCCTTGGTTCAATTACAAGAACACAGTGGTGAAGGCACTGGCTCTCGAGCCAGATGGCCAAGGCCAAGTCACTGCCTTGTGATTGTAAACAATTTGCTTCACCATTTTGTGCCTCGCTCTCCCGGTTTGCAAAGTGGAAATGATCACAATAAATAGACATTTTTGAGAAGTTGCCATGAGGGTTATCAAGTTGATACAGTACTGGGCTTAGAACAGCAGTGTTTGTCAAATGAACAAACATGGGAGTGGGTGATGGAGGTGCCGCCTGTGCCCCCCTGTGCCCCAGGTGTCAGGCCTGAGGTGGGATGGCAGCTCTCAGAAAGGCCTAGGCCCACGGGGGTCCTGAAGATGGAAGCACACCCCCTCAGCCTGTCGTCATCGCCTCCCCTGATATCTACGGCTTGCTAGCTAATTTCCCACAAGGCTTGAGGCTCAGGACCTGATTCCCTGATAAGCTTCCATAATCACTTCTTTTGTAAGAATGTAGTTTGTCAACAAGGTGCTCTTGGCTCCAAGTCTGGCCACCACCCAAGGCAACCAGTGATACACGTGGAGCCAGGGCTGGAGAGAGAGGGTAGAGATCTCTGGGCCCTAGCACTGATAAGAGATAAGGGGATGCCCTAAGCTGGATCCCTCAGGTTGGGCCAGCAGGACCATAAAGTGTGGGGCCCCTGCCTCAGCCTGGACCAGCTGGAGCCAACCTTGGACTCACTGTGATTGTTATTGACCAATTTGCCTTTGGCCTTTAGAACACTGCTTCTAGAGAGGGACACGGAGGGGGCCTGGCTGGGGGTGTGGTATGGAAAAGATCCAGGGTCCAGGCAACCTCTGAAGTCAACTGGGGCCAGACTGCTGTCTCCTCTCCATTGCCAAGATTAAAGTGGCTGCACGTCTGTGCTAGAAGGGCCCATAGACTAGCTCACCTTGGCTTCCTGCTTTACACATGGGGACACCAGGGCCCAGGAAAGGTGGGGGACGGCAAGGAAACACAGGAGGCAGAATCTGGGTCTCCAGACCCTTCATCCTTTAATGCCTCCACAATCTCCCCAGCCCAGTCACCGGCGCCACCATCCCCAGCTCCTCCTGGGACATGCATGGGGATATCTATCCCCTTAGCTGAGTTCAGAGTAGCCACTGATCATGGCCTTGATCTGGGGTCTTGGGGAAGGTCTTAGCCTGGAAGTGGAGGGCCAGGATACTCACAAGTCTCCAAACTAACCCAGAGCCTTGCCACCTAAAGTGGGTTCCACAGAACCACTTTGTTAGAAAAGTAAAATCCCAGCCATAGCCCCAGACCTTCTGAACCAAGCAGCATTTTAATAAGATCTCCAGGAGATTCATGTGCCTGTTGCAATGTGAGAAGCACCAGGTTAGAACAAGCCATTTTCCCTCCACCAGCCTCAGTTTCCCTATAGAAATGGAGGGGACAGAAGATCTCTGTCTTCTTTTTTTTTTTTTTTTAAATAGGCTCCACACCCAACATGGGGCTTGAACCCACAACCCTGAGATCAAGAGTCGTTTGCTCTACCGACTAGGTGTGCCAGGCATTCCAGATCTTTGACTTCTTTGACAGCTAACACACTGGGAGCCAGGCATGACCTCCCCTCTGGGACTCTATGTGTTTTGTAGTAGATTGTGGAAAGCAGAATTCTGATTCCAGCAAGGTTGGGGGAGCAGTCAATACCTCTCCCATTCTGTCTGATTCACCCCTCTCCTCTCTGCCTGAGACCCAGAGCTGGGGCAACTTCACAGGTCCTGGGATGCAGCTCATTCAGTTCAATCCACTTAAGCAACATCGATTAAGCACTGTGTGTGTGCCGTGCCGGGGTCTGTAGCAGTGAATCTCCACCCTGAGTGTACATTAGAATCATCCAGGCGCTTTTAAAAACTACGGATGCTGGGCCCCGCCCTCTGCCCCTGGAGTCAGTCTGGGTGTGTGTATTTATAAATGTGCTTCAGGCAATGATAATGCACAGCCTGGCTGACAACGATTGATTGATTGATCGATCGTCAGAAGTAAGGGAGCGGTCTATCCTAAATCCTACCCAGGCCACCTCCCCAGTCGCTGCTTCCTTTTAAGTCAGCCAGCTGCAGCGGTTCTGCTGCGAGCCGGAGCCAATCGTCAGGAAATTCCCTGGATATCGTAACCCGTGACAGCAACATCTAATTAATCATCAACTATGTAACATGATCCTGACCCATCACAAGGGGACTTGCTGAGAGTCTTTGGAAACCTGTCCACTGGGCTTCTCCAGACAAGTCCTTCCAGATCCAAGGATCCGTGCCCCAAGGACCCCAGGCTGATGGGGGCCCAGCTCACTTCCCTGGCTGGTAAGTGGGAGCCCTAAGTTTGATCGGCAAGGAACACAAGAAGCAGAGGGGAGGCTGTGGAAACTTGGGCGAGTCCATTTCCCATAGGGCCTCAGTTTCTTCACCTGCAGGCTGGGGCCAATGCAACTCACCTTGCCTGCCAGCTTACAGGGCTTCCAGAAGCACAAACCAAAAGATTGCCAGGCACCGTGGTTCTCTGGGAGCCTCACCTGAAACCACAGCGTTCCCTTAGTGTGCAGGGGCAGGAGATGGAGAGTCTGCTCTTTTGCCATCAGAGATCCGGACTGTATCTCAGAACCCTGCTCCCTTCTGGGCAGAGAGCCTGGAGCCTCAGCCCTTGGCTCCCTAAGGGCACCAGAGGCTCACACATCAACCAGCAGGTAGTGCTCTGAGCTTGGTGGGAAAGGGAGGTTGGAAGGAGGGTGGGGGCCAAGCTTCTGTTGTTGCTGCTGCTGTGCTGACTGGGTCTGGATTCCAGGTCAAGGTCCTTCCAGCAAGGAGGGTGGGGGCAGGAGTGGGCCCCGGGCTTCCCCACTCCTGGCTGTGAAAGATGTGCAGAGCCACCCCCACTCTGTTCCCTCTGGGCACTTCCCTGCAGGTCATGGGAGGAGTGAAAGAAGTTGTAGGGGTTAATAGGTGCCTGGCACCGGAGAGGCTTGAGGGCTGGAGGGGTGAAGATGAAGGAGATGATAAAGATTTGGGGAGGTTCTGGCTGAGCAGAAGGCTGACCCTTCAGTTACTTAGATTCCAAGAAACTTGTTGCAAAGATTATCTTTGAATCTACCTGGGGGGTGGGGGGTGGGGGTGGCAGGGGGAGGGGAGACATGTGAAAGCCATGATGCCTTCCCAAGTGGGCACTCAACTCCTCACATTGGGGATCCTGTGTGGAGACTGTGGGTCTTGGCTGACCATGCATATCGATCCCACTGGTGGATAAGGAGACCTATACCCAGTGGGGCAGTGACCTGCGTAGGTGAGCAACAGAGCGGGGACTAGAATCTGCATATCAGACAAGGCTGCCCCCCACAGAGCCTCCTGCAGCAACTCTGCAGTAGGCCGGAAGACAAGTCCATCGATGTCAGGGCCCTCGACTCTGACTCCTGGTCACCATCTGTGCCTACTTGGGGACTTCCCTTTGCTTGTGCAAAGCCTCCAGGGAAAGGCATCTGGGCAGACTATCAGGAAGGAAGGGAGAGATTGGGGTATTCCAGGAAGGGGTGATGGTCATGCAGGGGATGTGGGTGAGGGAGGGATGAGTTTGAATAGCAGGACCCTGTGAGCAAGGCCAGAGTGAGTGCTTGTCCCTAATGCCTCAGCTGAGGGAATAGACTTGCCTCTGGCCTGAAGCCATCAGGGACAGGTTGACTATGACCTCAAGGGTGTCTCTCTTGACCAGATTGAGTGTCCTCTCCTTGTGATCTGATGGAATCTTGCAGTCTTGTGAGTGATCAAAGGAGCCGAGCTGGGGAAATGAATGAGATCTGGGAGGGAAGGGGCCTTGCTCTTTTGGGTTGGGTTCAGGCTCATGCCCGGATGGAATCCGCCTCCCCCTTTTTAATGTTTGTTTACTTTTGAGAGAGAGAGGGAGAGGGAGAGAGACAGAGCGTGAGCAGGGGAGAGGCAGAGAGAGAGGCAGACACAGAATCTGAAGCAGGCTCCAGGCTCCAAGCGATCAGCATAGAGCCTGATGCAGGGCTTGAACTCACGAACTGAGAAATCATGACCTGAGCTGAAGTCAGACAATCAATTGAACCCCCAAGGCATCCCCTGATTGAATTCCCTTTCTATTTTCAGTTTCCCTCCTCTAAACAAGGAAGAGCTTGACAGGAAGAGCAGGGGTGGGGGGGTAGGGGTGGGGGAAGGGAGAAGGAAAGGGAGAAGAGAGAGAAGAGAGAGATGAGGTGTGGGGAGCTGGCTAAGGGCAGTTCTGGTGCAGGAAGCTCACTAGCTTCCTCCAAGCTCAGTCCTGAAGCTTGAGAGGAAAGGCTGCCTGGTAGGGAACTTCCCCTCCCGGCTGCCAAGTGGAGTGGGGTTGGGAAGTCCCCTGATTTCAAAGCTCAGCCCTGGGCCTTGGCTGGCTCAGCCCCACCATACTGAGTGATCCCTCCACCCCCAACCTGGGTCTCCCTCTCCAGCCTGTGCTGCCCCCTCTGGCTCTGTGGGGGAGCTATTGGACCCCGTTGTCTCCTAGGAAGTCACCCTCACTGGGGGCCATGGCCTTCACAAATGATGAAGTTTCTCTGTGAAACAATCATAAAGTCAGACAAACAGGAAAACAACACCCAAACCAGCACCCATCTGCCAGAGTTGAGCACAATTAGCAGGCCCATCTCCTTTCAAGTTGTTTCTAGATACAGGGAGGATATATGTGTGTGTGTGTTAAACATATGTGTCAAACAAAACCCAGGTCATATTATATATACTAACACCTGTTCTTTCTATTTAATGCCAATAACCATGACTAGATATGTAGGACCGTTACAGGCATGATTTTACAACATCCCTTTGGGGGGGGAACTGAGGCCGGGGGAATTCATAGTAGGAATTCAGATCCCAGGCACGCAAAGTGTGTTCCTCACCAGGCTCTAATCAGGTCTCTGGGGGGGCTCCCTGGATGAGGGCTGGGGCAATGGCCCCCGGGGAGATGGGGGTGGGGTGGGGGTGGAGATGGCTCTGGGGAGGGAGGGAGTCCGGATCCAGACCACACTGACGCCACCATTCCCCTCTCCCCCCCCACCCCCCGCAGATGCCAAGGCACCCCAGGAGACACTTCGCTTCCACGCTGAGGCCAAGGGCATGCAGGTGCATCTAGACGCCCAGCGGTGCACTGCGCGCAGGAACGCCACGTTCCACGACGGCATCGTGTTCAGCCAGCGGCCAGTGCTCCCGGGCGAGCGGGTGGTGCTCCGCGTGGTGTGGCACGAGGGAGGCTGGTACGGCGGGCTCCGCGTGGGCTTCACGCGCCTGGACCCCGCGCAGGTGTCCGCGCCCAGCCTGCCGCCCTTCGTGTGCCCGGACCTGGAGCTGCAGAGCCCGACGTGGGCGGCCATGGTGCCCGAGGGCTGCGCGCTGGCGGGGGACGTGGTCTGCTTCTGGGTGAGCCGCAGGGGCCGACTCTTCGTCAGGGTCAACGGGGGCCGCCGGCTCCTGCTGCGCAAGGACGTGCTCATGGGCGCCCCGCTCTGGGCCGTGATGGACGTGTACGGGACCACCAAGGCCATCGCGCTACTGGGTGAGGCAAGCCGCGAGGACCCAGGCGCCGTCCCCGGGGTGGCAAGCGGAGGCTCGCGTGGTACTGCGTCCCCGTGCAGAGCCGTGCGGAGATCCTTTCAGTTTTTCCTGCACACTTTTACGTCAGTGGCGCTGGGGACGTAGGGACAAGACCCCCAAGGGAGGGCAGCCTTGTCGCTAGGGAATGCTAAGAAGCTAGGACTAGCGCTCCCAACATCTGTTAAATGGCTGTTTCACAAAAGGAGAGATTGGGGACTGGGTTTTGCTGCCTTTGTAGGAGTTCGGGGGTGTCAAGGGTGGCAAGCAAAGGGGACAGAGGTATGAGGGGTTAGTTGGAGGCACACAGGAAGGCTGCCTGTGGGGGCGAAGGGAGCCGTCCAGTCAGTGAGTGGGGAAACCATAACCGTCCCTCTAGCCACCTGAAAGGAGAGTGGACTTCAGGGAGAGTGGATCCAGGAAATATGCGTAAAAAGAACTATTGGCACTCCTGTGCTGGTTGTCCACGGGCCTGTACAAGCAATCCAGCCCCCCTTCCCACCCCACCCCCACGCACTGGTTTAAAAATCACTAGCCACAGGTGACGAAGCCTCGCCCCTGGGACATCCGATTTGGTAGGTCTGGAGTGGGGCCAAGCACCTGTTTCCCCCGCCTCCTGGGGGATTTTAATGCACGTCTGGGTTTAGGAAGGGGGGTAATCCTGAGGGTCTCCAGTCAGGCAGCAGCACCAGGGGCAAAGGGGAGATGTCTAAAGGAAGCAAGGTTTAGGAAAAAGCATCGACAGCTTCACAAAATCTCTGCTGGGTGAACTGGGGGAGGGATGGCCGGGGCGGTAAGATCAGCGGGCAGCTCCAGCCCAGCAAACCCAGGAAAGAAAGCAGGTGGAACTCCTTCAAGGGTGGGGTGTGGGCGGGAGCACCTGGGCTTTGCTCTTCCTGGGCCCTGAGTTTCGCTCTCTGCCTCAGATCCCACAGCCCGTGCCTTCCCCTCAACCGTGCCGGGGGCCTTCAGTGACCAGGCTCTGCAGCCCGAAGGTGAGTGGCTTCCCCCAACACCCGGGACTGACTCCCCGGGACTCCAGAGCCAGAGCCCCGATCCCCACCGCAGCTCTGGGAGCTCACAAAGTCTTTCCAAGTCCCACAAAGTCTCCCACAGGCTTTAGGCCAAAAGATTTGGCTCTGCCTCCTGGAAACCTAAAAGCAATTTAACAGCTTTGCTTCTAGAACATTGGCTAACTTTTCAAGTTACAAGAGCACATTCATGAACAAATAATGTTATACTGTCCCTGCTTTAAAAAGCAATCCATGTTCGTCATAAAAGTTTTGTCAAACAGAAAGAAAATAAATATTAAACAATAAATAAGGAAGTAAAAAAAATCACCGCTGACTCTTGGGGGAATTTCCTCCTAGTAGCCTGTAGTCATACATCTATGGGGAATTGTGCTGTTTTCCTTTTTTTCCATGTTGGAATTTTGTGATATATATGAATGTATAGTATGGTTTTCTTCCCACTTTTTTTCACTTGATTATGTTGTGAGCATTTTTGCATTAAGTAGTAGTCAGGATAGGACTGTGTGGTTCTCTGTCCTGTGGTTTTGGCGTGAGTTGGCTGCCCACCCTTCGCCCTCATGTACCCCAACTTGTGTCGTCCCCTTTCCCAGACACGACAGGAGAGGAGTGTGCCGTCTGCTTCCACCACACCGCCAACACCTACCTTGTTCCCTGCGGCCACACACATCTGTGCAGCTCCTGTGCCTTGCGGATCTTCAGGGACTTGGCCTCGTGCCCTGTATGTCGCCGGGAGATCAAGGCGGTGATCCCAGTGCGGGGCCCTCCTACGCTGAGGACTGAGGAAGGCCACCTGATACAGATGGCAAATTGAATCTAGCTCTGAGCCTGGGGGTCTCCAGAGAGAAGAGGTGCAGCCCCGCCTTGGTTCTGGAGAAGAGTCAGAAAAGCCTGTCCTCAAGAAGAGATGGCGGCAGGAGGGCAATGACTCTTCCGTCTTCCCCAGTAGGTTGGGGTCAGTGGGGCAAGGAGGAGCCCCCTTTTCTGCCCACACCAGAACGATCTTCCTAGGGGGTTTCTCTAGAAAGTGGTTCAGCAGTGGGCCAGCAGGCTTCTGATCCCTTCCCACTGCTTAGCTTCACGTTCGTTTGTGCCCAGGGCTTTCCTAGGCTTTTGACTGGCCACCTGGTACAGCCACCGTAGACCTAGCAATCCTGGTACATGTAGGTCACATCAACGAGAAGGGACTTTGCACAGAGATGGGACAGTATGATTCTTCGCTTTATAGCTGGGGAAGTTAAGGTAACTGCATGTATCTGGTGAAATCCCAGCCCGTCCCTGGGTATTGAGAAGCCTGGACCAGCCATAGAGAGGCATCTGAGTGGAATGTTTACAATCCTGTGTGGAAGCTGGGTCACCTCTGACGTGTCTTCCATAAAATGGATAGTAGTTACTCGCCGGCCTGCCTTGCAGGGTGATTGTGAGGTTCCAGTGAGATCACATAGCTGAAGATGTTTCTGCACGTGAGACTACGCTGTTGTTGCTATGCTTATTTCCTTGCCAAATTCTGAGGTGTCAAAATAAAGTTTGTCTTTTGTGAATGATTTGCAATGACTATATCCTCTTTGCAGCAGTCAGAGGGAGTGGATGGAGCTGCGGCTGTCAGGATGCTGGGGCATCTCCATACCCTCTGTCCACTACAGATACACCCTGGGCTTGCTGTGGACTGGGTGTGGCTCGGGCATTCAGGCCTGGGGACTTTATTTTGCTGAGTATGTGAAGGGGATAGTCCTACACTCCCAGCCCTGAAGTCACAGCCAGGCTTTTCCCCTGCCACCCTTGGTTTTGGGGGGACTCCCAGGAGGCCCTGACTCCTGAATGAAAGGAGGAGTTGACCCAGGAGCCCACCTCAGCAAGTGCTTTGGTGGCGGCAAGCCATACCTGTTAAGTAACACCTTCATCAACTGCCTCCCTACCCACACCATTGCCAGCCAGTGGGTCAATACATTGGGCTTGGTGACAATGGAGTAGCTTACTCTGGGGTAGGATCCCCTCTCCACCACTCATGAATGGTCTGATTTTGGTCATGTGGCTTGACTTCTGTGAGCCTGTTTCTTCATCTGTAAAGTGGAAATAAGATCATTTTCTTTACTGGTATGTGTGAGAATAATGAGTATGAAACTTGTACCTTTGATGAAATACCCAAAATATAGCATCTCCCTTCCCCCCGGAAAAATCATCTCCCAGGGGAAGTAGCCAAGAGGGCAGGGGGCTAGGTGTCAGGGATTTGAATGTGAGTGGTGGTAGCCTACTGAGTTTTACCAAGGGCCCCCATGTCACCCCAGGATTTTGGAATGATTTCTATAGATTCTTTTTTCATCTTTTAAGTGTCCTTCTGTTGGTAAATCCAGACAACTCCAGGTCAAGGGCAGCACTTTAAGCCTATCACCAGTGAATACCTTCTTATTAGTTAACCCTTAAGCAAGCCTGATCCTAGAAAGGGCCTGTAACCAGAGCAGAGAGACTTCTGGAATGGTGGAGTAAGGAGATCTGTGTATCCATTCCTCCATAAAAGCAACAAAAATATTGGCAAGATTATAAAAATAAACTTTTCCAGAACTCTAGCTATTAACCAAAGCCTAACAACAACCTGACGAGGGGTTTATCCAAGAGAAACTGTTCAACTTTGTAAGAACAGTGGGGTTTGTGGGGTTGGAACTTGGCCTACTGCCATCCCTATAGTCCCAGCTCCATAGTAGCCTTAAAAACCAGCAGCCTTGAGGCCATAAAGGGGACAGATTGGGTTAGGAGCATCTCAGAAAGTTCTATCACCCCAACGTCCATCACTATTTGACCTGTATGGCAATTCATTGGAAAAGCTGGATTTATGGGGTGTTGTCATTACTTACTGCAGCTTGGAGCTTTCTACTTGGGAAAACCCTTATTCCCAAGGCATTCCTCAAATACAATCAGCTTCAATTGCTTAACATCACAGCCGCCTAAGATTGAGATACCAGTTGGGGCAAACATGAGCCTGGCCAAAAACTTAAAAGGAAGACCTGAGAAGATAGGTGTTCACAGGGGACTTTGAAAAGCTCTGGTACATTTCTGGAGATCTAAACGACCGAGTGCATGGTCTGGAAAGGTCTGAGAGGGCCCCAGCCTCTCGCTTCTGACTCACCTTGAGGTCCTGTGCAAGCAGGAAGTAAAGACTAAGACAGAGTTGTAAATTGCTTGAGCATTGAAGGCATGCCTCAACCCACAGAGCTCCTTGGCAAAGAGTGGAAGATTTTATAACTCAAGGCATTTAAGAGAATCTGTGTTCAATCATTAGCTAACTATGAAACTACCTGAGTGGAGACATTGGTGGCTGCACACTATAAGGAATATAGACCTCACAGAACTAGTCCAGGAAAGTCATTAAACAAACAAATATTCAAACAACAGTAGCAACACACCCTGGCAGGGGTGGTAGTGGTGGTGGTGGTGGTGGTGGTGGTGGTGGTGGTGGTGGTGGTGGTGGTGGAGTCAGATTCAGAGTTGCCATATTACATTATCTAGAGGATCTGGTTTTCAAAGGAAAAATAACTACTTCTCTATATATAACCTGAAAAGAAACAGGAAAGTATGGCCCATATACACAGGAAAAAAATCAGTCACTAGAAACTGTCCCTGAAGAAGGCTAGATGTTGAACTTACTAGACAAAGATTTTATTTATTTTTCTTTTTTTAAATTTAAATTTCTTTTTCTTTTTCTTTCTTTCTTTTCTCTTTTAGTTACCATACAGTGCTATATTAGTTTCAGGTGTACAATATAGTGATTCAACAATTCTATATATTTACTCAGTGCTCATCATGATAAATGTATTCTTAATCCCCTGCACCTATTTCACCCATCCCCCTAGCCACCTCCCCTCTGGTAATCGGTTTGTTCTCTGTAGTTAAGAGTCTGTTTCTTGCTTTGTCTTTCTCTCTCTCCTTTTTCCTTTGTTTATTAAATTCCACATATGAGTGAAATCATATAGTATTTGTTTTTCTCTGACTGACTTATTTCCCTTAGCATTATACTCTCCAGCTCCATCTATGTCACTACAAATGGGAAGATTTCATTCTTTTTTATGGCTTCTTTCTCTTTTTTATGGCTTTTCTTTATCCATTCATCTATCAATGGACTCTTGGACCACTTCCATAATTTGGGTATTATAAACAATGCTGCAATAAACATAGGGTTGCATATATCCTTTTGAATCAAGTGTTTTTGTATTCCTTGGGTAAATATTCAGTAGTGTGGTTGCTGGATTGTAGTGTAGTTCTATTTTTGATTTTTTGAGGAACCTTCATTACTGCACCACAGTGGCAGTGACTGTGCCAGTCTGCATCCCCTCCCATCCCCTTTTTCTCCACATCCTTGTCTACACTTGTTGTTTCTTATGTTTTTGATTTTAGCCATTCTGACAGGTGTGAGGTGATATCTCATTATAGTTCTGATTTGCATTCCCCTCATAATAAGTGATGTTGAGCATCTTATCATGAGTCTGTTGGCCACTCATATTAGACAGAGACTTTAAATCAGCTATTACGAATATGTTCAAAGTACTAAAGGAAACTGTCTAAAGAATTGAAGGAAAGTATGTTATCAGTGCCTCACCAAATAGAGAGCATCAGTAGGGAGCTAGAAGTTATAAAAACAGCTAAATAGAAATTCCTTTTTAAAATTAGGGGCACGTGGATGGCTTAGTCAGTTAAGCATCCAACTTCGGCTCAGGTCATGATCTCACGGTTCGTGGGTTCGAGCCCCGCGTCGGACTCTGTGCTGACAGCTAGCTCAGAGCCTGGAGCCTGTTTCAGATTCTGTGTCTCCCTCTGACCCTCAGCTGCTCACACTGTCTCTCTCCTCTCAGAAATAAATAAAACATTAAAACAAAAAATAAAAATAAAATAAATTACTTATTTAATTTACATGCAATTTAGCACATAGTGCCACAATGCTTTCAGGAGTAGGTTCCTTAATGCCCCTTACCCATTTTAGCCCATCCCCCCTCCCACAACCCTTCCAGTAACCCTCTCTATATTTAAGAGTCTCTTATGTTTTGTCCCCCTCCCTGTTTTTATATTATTTTTGCTTCCCTTCCCTTAGGTTCATCTGTTTTGTATCCTAAAGTCCTCATATGAGTGAAGTCGTGTGATATTTGTCTTTCTCTGACTAATTTCGCTTAGCATAATACCCTCTAGTTCCATCAACGTAGTTGCAAATGGCAAGATTTCATTCTTTTTGATTGCCGAGTAATACTCTGTTGTGTGTATATATATATACACACACACACACACACACCACATCTTCTCTATCCATTCATCCGTTGATGGACATTTGGGCTCTTTCCATACTTTGGCTATTGTCGATAGTGCTTCTATAAACATTGGGGTGCAAGTGCCCCTTTGAAACAGCACACCTGTATCCCTTGGATAAGTACCTAGTAGTGCAATTGCTGGATCATAGGTTAGTTCTATTTTTAATTTTTTGAGGAACCTCCATACTGTTTTCCAGAGTGGCTGCACCAGTAACACATGTAACCAGTAATACATGTAACAAGTATTTATATAGTATTACTGTCAGCCAGTGAAAATAGCACCTTACATTTAGGGAAAAAGCAATTGTAATGACAGTAGTTTTCTCATCTGAAACCATGGAGGCCAGAAGGAAGTGTCACATTTTTCAAGGACAGGGAAAAAAAACCTATCAGTTCAGAATTTGATCATTCAGAGAAATGATCTTTCAGGAATGAAGAGGAAATCAAGATCTTCTCAGATGCAGGGAAACTAAGAGAATTCGTTACCGACAAACCTAAAGGAATGACAAAAGAAGGTTCCCCAAACAGAAAAATTAGTAAGGAATCTTGGAACATGAGAAAAGATGAAAGAAAAAAGGAAGAATACAAATACGGTGAGGTCTAAGAGCACAATGGAGCATGCAGTAGCATAGAAGAGATGTGCAATACGCCTAATGGCCATTCCCAGCTGCTCCCTTCATAAAGAGATTCCCTGATGTCCATGAAAACAGAGCTCCCTTGGACCCATAACGCATGGGTTTTTGGCAAGACTCAAAGCAAGTACAAGTACAGGGCTGTTGCTGGGAAGCAGCTGCCCAGCCTGGAACTACATTCTGAACCTTCACCAAAGGAATGTGAGAGAAAACAATATGTGCTATATCTGGTCCGAGGCTCCTCTCTTCCCCAGTGTACTTCCTGGGTATGAAGGACACTGAGATTCTAGGGGACGGTCAAAACATGAGACAGAAGGTGAGCTAACCAGGAATCACAGCATTGGACTATAATGTGGATGAGAACTGAACCTCTGTTGTGCCAAACCACCGAAATCCTGGACTTTGTTACTGCAGTTGGTGTTTCCTTTGAGTTTCTATCTTTGCAGAATCATAGCACGTGACTTTTCCATTTAATCAATAATATTCAAATCTGAAATAATTTATTTTTATATAATTTGCTGAGCAAATTTCTAACATGTCTTTCGATACAATTTAATTTTTGCAATTATGTTACGTGCTTGTGCAT